AGATAACTGTAAGTAGAATGAATTAAACAATCACATTTTCACATTAATGTCACAATTTAATTTTTGCCTATTATACAAGAATTTGCAAAATCATACTTATAAGAAAAGTAATGAATAGTAACGGCATGCTAATAATAAAACATCATCTAAACTTACCTAACCAAACAAAGAAACAGCTTATAACCCATCAATGCAACACTAAAAAGATTCAATCTTTCCCCCCTTTTTTGAATAAGAAACAAAGAAAATCCCCATATTTCAGATCTAACAACAAAACTACAAGAAAATTAAACTCGGAATATTAGGGGGAAAAAAAATCAAAAAAAAAAAAAAAGTCAAATTTAAGCTAATAATCATAATGAAAAACTAGAAATTGCTGAAAAAAGTTAAATTTATGAATGAATACCTAAGAATTTGTAAATCGTCAAGGGTACGAGGCAACTTGAGGAAACTATAATCAGAAGACGGCATAGTTAAATAAACACCCAAAAGCCCTAATCCATATGCAAATACAACCCCAAAAGCTGCTGAAACTTCCCACATTGTTAATGGATACTTTGAAATTGATTTTTCTTCACAAACTAATCTTTCATCTGATTTCTCCATTGTTTTTTTCTTCGAATTTTTTGCACTAACCCCACAAAAATTTAAACTAAAAAAATTCAAAATTTCTCAAATTCGAGGTGTTTGTGTTTCTGGGATTAAATTGTGTAATGACCAGATTTAAGAAGATAAGGAAGATTTGGTTTGGTTACTTTCCTAACACTTCTCTGACATTTCTGTTTTTTACGTTTAAGCTTTGTTCGATTTTGTGGGAAATTTTTTGAGAATATTCGTTTCCCAAAGAATAGAAATATCCTAATTGATGATTATCAATAACTGTATACTAAAATACACACTAGCAATGACACGTGTCATCTGTGTCCTTAGTTTTTTTTTTTTTTTTTTTTTTAATTATTTATATTTTAGTAACAAATCTTTACATATATATTATAATAATAATTACTTATAGAGTATAATAGAAGATTTGATGTATAATGTATCCTTCCAAAAAAAAGTACTAACAATTATAACTTAAGCAAAAAAAATAAAAAAAAAATAAAAAAAAATAAAAACTTAACATAATTTGTGAAATATGAAGGTTCTTTTTTGGGAAAATATATAATATTAACATAATTTGTGAAATATAAAGCTTTTTGTATTTTGGGAAGGTATATATTAATTATGTACTATGTTTATTAGAAGATCATTTTTTTTGTTTGAGGAAACAACAAGATCATATATTTTTTTTCCCCTTAAAAAAATCATATTTTTTTCTTGAATTTATTTATTTTAAAAATTATGTAATAGAAGCTACAAATTTTTACAATGAAATGCAAATATAAAATCAACAAATGATATTTTTGTTATTTCCTTGGATAATTTATGATCTAAATTTTAATCAATTTATAATCTATAATTACTTATGGATATTTCAATAATACTGCCTAGTTCGACACATGTTGATTATTCTTAGTGTAATTTGAATAATAGAAATTACCGTGCATGGTACGGGATCTAACCTAGTTGATTATATACAGTAGGATTTTAATTAATGACAAGATTTGTTAACCTTTTTTTTCAAATTATTGTTTGGTGGGATTAAAAAATTCAAAAAGGGTTGAATTGGGAGAGATGATGTGGTCCAACTTTGGTCGTTTGTTTTCTTGTCTTTTATGATTTGTGGGTTATCACTTGACGTTCAGATGTTAATTTCATTTCAGATTCATATTAATGATGTCTTCCCCATGTTTTTATTTAACCTAAAAATCTTTGGGTATTCATTCTACACCTAAAAAACCTTAGGGCCTGTTCTGATTGACTTAGCTGAACTGAACTGAACTGAACCGAGCTGAACTGAACTGAACTGAACTGAACTGAACTTATTAATTAGTGATTTTTAACTACGGATTAGTAATCTTTGATTATTTTTAACTAACTGACTATGAAAATTAGTTTAAGTTGTGTAGTATTTTAATTTTCTCAATGAGATTAACATTAGAAATATGTTTCAAAAAAATAGAACCATTTGAACAATGAATTTTATCAATATTATTATTGTTATTATATTATTATTAATTATTGATAATTATTATTATTATTTATTGATTATTATTATTATTAATAATATTATTATTATTATTGTTGTTGTTGTTGTTGTTGTTGTTGTTGTTGTTGTTGTTGTTGTCGTTGTCGTCGTCGTCGTTGAATAAGAGCTTAAAAGAATGAAATTTGGCTTTATATCATTAGCAATATCATTAGACATAAATTAAGAGCTGAGCTGAACTGAATATCATTAGCAATATCATTAGACAAAAATTAAGAGCTGAGCTGAACTGAACTGAACTGAACTGAACTGAGCTGAACTGAACTGAACTGAACTGAACTGAACTGAGCTGAACTGAACTGAATTTCAACAGAACAGAACAAGCCCTTAGTATCACACGTTTGATTTGAGTCATTTCGTTTTGGTAAGTCATTCGAGCCATGTGTAGCGTAAGTGTAACAAGTCTAGATACATATAAGTATACAATTTTTTTTGGCTGGTAAGGGGAATGATTCTATTAGGCTACTGGAAGTCTGAAACCTTTCACAGAGTCACAAGTCCTCTCAACTCAGGTTAGTGGGCTACATACTTTGAGAGGGGGGAGGGTAAGGGAATCTCCACCACAAAGTCTATCTGGTGGGATTTGATCCCATAACCTCTTGGTTGTAAGATGCAAACTTAGGGCTTGTTTTCATTGACTGAACTGAACTGAACTGAGCTGAACTGAATATTGGAAATTAGGAGCTGAGCTGAACTGAACTAATATGAATATTGGAAATTAGGAGCTGAGCTGAACTGAAATTCAACGTAAGAGAACAAACCCTTAGTATACATTTTTTTTAAGATGGTAAGGAAAAGGGCTATACCGGGTCAAAACCTCTCACAGGTCCTACCGGCCTCGGTTAACAGGTTCGGGATTTTGGGAGTGTGGGGAAGGGTAAAGAAATCTCCACCCCAAAGTGCCTCTAGTGAAAATTGAACCCCTAAGCCCAACCTCAAAGTTGTAAGGTATAACCCTTTCCACTAAACAAGCTTAGCTTGGTTACGAGTATACATTAAATGACGTGCCGAAACACTCATATAAGCTCATATGTATAGACGTATAGTACTCCACCAGGTGGATGAAACAGTCTCAGGGCAAAATAGCAAAGAACACGTGAAAGAGGGGTTGGAAACCGACGGAGAAAACAAAGGAGATAGCGGCCCCAAGTGTAAATGCGCAAATCGTGGGGTACTTCTAGTTTTTTGCATGTGCCACTATTTGCTTAAACTACGCGTTTTATGCTTAATAATCATACGGAGTAATAGTACAGTCAGCTCCTATAATTACACTTTTGCGCTCATTGTTTGTCGATACCAAATGGTTTTTTGCTTATGTATTTTTGAATCGTACTTAACCAAAAGACTAGGAACAGTATAATACTATAATGTATATGACGATCTAGGAGGTTATTCTTACTCTTCATTATAATATTAATTGATGTCTTAAACATTGATTGAGATTTGGCAAATTGTTTAAATTATTGCCCTTTCCCTCATTAATTATAACGTGGGCTCATGATTATATATTTGGATCAAGCAACTTGCATCATCATATCAATATTAATGAAAATGTGTTGAGGGTTTATGTCAATAATAAATTAAAATGTGGAAAAACAACAAGGTTTATTATGGATTTACTTGTAATGATAAATTGCCAATAATTATATTTGAGGCACAAGTTTACCTTTAAAACATGTGGGATTTGATTTGTAGGAAAGTATTCTTGTACTCGTAAATTTTATTGAGTGGGTCATTGCTTGTAAAAGGTTAGAAAAAGATCGGTTAGTGGGAGTTACAAATCAAATTTCAATAGTGAATGAGATGATAAACGAGCAAAATAAATATAAAAGAGAGAGAGAGAGAGAGTGATTAGACACAATATATTATGAAAAGGCAAATACAAAATTATTAAATTATTGTTTTTGAGCTTCGGGTCTATATTGACCGTATCTTATAAAGATATTTTAGCTTAATCTTACAACTAATTGATGATAAGTAAAGAAGTCCGCTAATCTTTAAAACATTAAAATTTTGTTTGTCTCAACTACTTAATTAATGATAAGTAACTCTCTAGGGACGTATGTCTCAACTCTGAAGGAAACTAAAAAGATAAAAATGAGTTCTGATCTTCTGATCCGTATGTCCGTAATAGAGATGTGTTAAGGCCCAATGGGCTTACATACTAAAAGTCTAAAACTTCAAAGTAATAATCATGCATTCATGTGCTAAGTCTGCTCAAACGGATTATTACTTGAAGTTTTAGTATGTAAGCCCATTGGGCCTGTTGACTTCCCAAGCTTAATCTATACCAGATTACCAGGAGCTTGCCCATCAACTCAAGCCATTACCATTTATCAAAGAGTAACTTAAGAAGATACATCCTTCATTTACAACAAATGATTTACCACGTATAATAGATTAATAGGCCTAAGCCATGTTTCATCAGGTGAAGAAAACACGACTTAATAACCAAGAGTGTTCTTTTTAAATTGAGCCATCAAGGTAAATTAAGTACAGAAAAATTAGGTTCGAAATAGTCAAGTTATGCTAAATAATTATGGATCTTCATTTTTTATTTAAAACTTTAATATTTTGTATGCTAGTTAGTTCAAATTAATTCAATTTAGTGTATATGAGTTAAATTAAATATCTTTGGATAAGTCAATTCAATATAATGCAGAAATAATTAAAACTTCATTGATGAAAATCAGGTAAATATACTGCACCCTTGTCATGTCGACACTTAATTTTTTTGCACAATACATGCATTATTGTTAATCACCCAAGCCATGAAGGATTTCATTTTCATGCATTTAATGCACACAACAGCTTCTGAAGCAATAATACTTATTATCAACCTAACTTTCTCATCCATCCATCTCTCTCTTCTTATCATCCACAACCATAAATTCTACTAGCATTTACAACTTACCTCTTTATTCTTCCTTCTTACAAATTCCTTTTTTATATTCTTACAAATTAAAACTCTTTGTTTCTTTCTAAAAAATGGCAGGAATAGTATCCAAAAAATTCTCATACCAAAAGCTAAAGCAAGAAGTCATTTTTGAAGAAGATCTTCATCATCAAAACAAAAGTAAAAAAGATAAAATTTCCGAGATTATTAGAAGATCATCAACATCAATAAGATCAAGAAGCAGCTGGATAAATAAGCTGAAATTAAGGAGAAAATTCAGGGTTAAATTAGGACGTTGTTTTAGAAGGTTTTTCAGAATCAGAAGAAATAAAAAGCTTAAAGTTGCAAGATTAGCTTGGGCTAATAAGGTTTACAAGAGATTAAAGGAAGGTCAATCTCATTTTGGTGATCTTTTTGCTGGTAATTACTTGTTCATGCAAGTCACTCCTGGCTCCTTCGTCAAGAACAACAAAACTCATTGCGTTTCGTCTCACCAATTTTATAATCATAGCAATACTACTACTACTACTACTAATAAGCTTTCTAGATATCCCTCAAGTTATACTAGTAATTATGTTCTATCTTCTTGAATAATTGTATAATTATATTATATGTATGTTCATGTGATTTGATGTATTTTTAAGCTTATTATGTACTCTGGACTTCATATAATGCATGTATTTACCAATAATAGTTTGTGATATATGTAACAAATAACTTATTGATAAACAATTTCAATGGTGCATAGTTATAAATAAAAGTTTGAAGAATTCAATTAAGACTTTAAAAGGCAGATGCGTGCAAGATATAACAGCAATATCGATCTATGTCGTTTTTAATTTGTTTTTCTTATATATTCTACGTACTAATGTGTTCGAGCTTATGCAACTAATTAATTAAAACAGAACGTGCTATTAATTTTGATGTTTAATTATGTTAAGCTATCTCTTGTTTGATACATTAAGGTATCTTAAATCCTTAATTAAGAATTCAAAGAGTATTTTTGTCTCACATCATAATTAATATATACGGTACGTAGTGTATACATATAAGGTACTCTTGTATAGTTCTATGTGCAGTGCCATTATTGTTTTAATTAATCTCATATTATCATGTTTAATTAATAAAATGAAGTTGTTAATATAAATCCAACTTTAAGAAATATAATTGGTTTTCCCCTTGAGCGTACGGTATACCTATTTATTAGGCATGCTTGAGTGTAGGTATGCCATATTCATAATAAATTTGTAGACTTTTGTTGTTCATCAGTACTCCGCATTACATACAAAAGTAATTATTTGTAATCCTTAAATAATAATTCAATTAATTAAAAAAATAAATTTTGGAGCTGGTAGATAATTGAAAGTAACTATTCGTAATTAAGAGTCAAATTATTGAAATGAATTATGTACCAGTTGGATTTGAAGATGTGTGAATCGAATATAATTAACTAGTGCAAGTTAATTAATCCTACGGAGTACTACTCCATAGTACGTCCATATATATTACGGAGTACTCGTATTATTAAGTTCAACATATATAATCACAATTCCATGAAATTTTAAACTCAAATGTAATTTACAATTTGCTCATTAAGGTGTTAGCCCTCTCAGTCTCTCACACATTCAATCTCTTTCTCACTCTGCCAGGCACACAATCCCACCTAACAAGTTCAATTTATAGCTAAACACTTATACGTCCCTATAACACGTAAATAATCGTAGTACTCTATCACCTAAAAACACACTCTTTACTACTCTACGGCTCTACCTAATAACAATATTAAGTACTTAAACATATAAGTATAGTCTTATTTCTTATACTACTAAAGTAGTCCTTTATATTCTACCACATGTCCACATTACTAGCTAGCTATGTTAGTGTTTCATTAGATACCTCGATCATTTTCATGCATTTCATGTGAAAATAGCTGGGAAAAATGCTTTGATGCTCTTTTAACTCTAAAAAAAATAAAAAAAATTGTTTGTCAAAAAAAAAAAAAGAATTTATATACTCCTTTCGTCCCTTTATTTTTGCCCCATTCCCATTTTTTGGGTCAAACTTTGACCATAATTTACCGTTAATCTATGAAAATTAATATAGTCATGACTGGTCTTGTTAGATTCGTCTCATTGTAAATTTTATTAATATCATGTTTTTATAATTTTTACCTACATGGAAATAAAGATATAGACGTTTTAGGACGGGTCTAGAAGACTGTGCACAATCAAATAGGACAAAAAAATAGGAACAGATGGAGTAAAAGTTTTTTTATTTTATTTTATATATATATATTTTAACTCTGTATTGACTTTATTAGTGTAATTGGTTAAACTCTACCAACTTATTTTAACATTTTAAATAGATTAAACTCTATTATCTTATTTTTAATTAATAATTATTATCTGCTATTTTAATTTACTTTTACTCACGACCTTATTTTATAATGTGTGTAAAATAGCTATAAATGAAACTTTTATTTAGAAAGGAAAAGAGTTTATCAGCAGTTACATAAACTGCCAGGCGACCACTCACCTCATAAAACTGATTCATTTATTATGAGCCCAACTCCCACCAGCTGTCTCTCTCCTTCTTCTGCAGTCTTCCCTAAAACTCTCACTACCCTTTTTCATCAGCATTATATGCACCCCTTCTTCATTCATTTCTCACCACAAAACACACATTTTCCTTGCACCTTTTTTCCTTTTTTTCACCCTCAAAAATAAAAATGTCATGCAAAATTTCTAGATTTTCATACCAAAAGCTAAGAAAAGAGGTTATTCTTGAAGAAGAAGATGCTGAGAACAAAAAACGAGTCATTAAAACTTCATCATTTCCAAAAATTACCAAGTGGTTTGGTAATAAGTTGAGAAAGAGAAAGTTGAAGTTTAAGTTTTCTGGGTTTAGAAGATTTTTCAAGGTAAAATCAAGGATTAAAGTGGCAAGATTTAGATTATCATGGGTTAATAAGGTTTTGAAGAGATTAAAGGAAAGCCAATCACATTTTGGTGATCTTTTTGCTGGTAATTACTTGGTTATGCAAGTTACTCCAACTGATTTCAACAAGAAGAACACAAACAAAAACACTATTATTGTGGGTAATCCTTATGGTCCTAATAATAAGATTACTAGTTTTGCACATTTTACTTATATGTATTAAACATGTTTAGTAAAAGTCTAGTGATTAAGGGGTGGTAGATTTATAACTAATAATTAAGGGTATTTTAGTAATTTTAAGGGTATTTTTTAAGGATGTACCCTAAAAAATAAGGGAAACTTGGTTATTTAATTTGGTACTTTGTATTTGACATGCAATTGTACTTCTAATAATATATTAAAGATATATAGTAGGGGTTCACAAATCACAACAAGATTATCCGAAGAAGCTATATCTCTGAATTAACATCAATTGATAAAGCTACTCACTTTTAATTGATGTGCATCTGAAGAAAATATGTAACTTGTCTTTGCTCAGGTTTTTTAGGCAAAGACCTAGAATTGTTTAATTGTAATAATGTTTATTTTAATTTATGGCACATTAGCTTATTTATTTCGCCTGATTTTATCATGCATTTCAAACATTTTCAACATTTGTAATGTATGTAGCATCCGATTCAACCTTTTTAAAAATAAGAAAGATTAAATTGTGGGGGTCTTAGCTTGTTATCCATTTATAGCAATTAAAGTATGATAGTTCGTCAAACTAGGGATATTTTGCGATAAAGTTTTTCTAATTAAATACTTGTATTGTTTATAATAATTTTGTGTGTGTGAGTCAAAGTTTGTTGTAAGTCATGGGTGTATGTACTTAACTTACATGTGCCCAAGTAGATAGACTTTCTTTATTATTGCTTGTTCAAATGAATATATATATGGAGTATGAAATTATGATACGAACTACTCCGTACATAACATGCATATAGTTATGTATATATGAATATTTTAATAATATAATGCGAAATGGAGGAAATTCTTTGTATAATTTAGAAGTTGAATCTAGACAAACATAAATAAATTATTAAGATGACACTCAGCCAGCCATGAGGCCCATGATATTGTGACAATGAGGTCAATCTATATCAATACATTAACAATCAATCATATCTCTAAAATTATGGAAGTGATAGATTTTTATACTAGAATAAGACAACGACTAGAAGAGTATTGAGAAGGTGATTAGTAGCTATTACGTATATGCGAAGAAACAAGCTAGCTACTTTGTAATTGGAATTTGGAAAAGGTTTTTAGTTCGCTTATTACAGGGTTCAAAATCATTTGTAAAAAACTTACTAACTTGTCTTAGACTAGAGTCCTAGTCCCAACTTGCAAGTGCTTGAGCTTGACTTCTTGTTACCTAATTAGCCTTTATAAACTTTGTCAATTAAAGCAAAGTAGGCTATGTTGCAAATATATATGGGCTTGGCCCGACTTGAAATATGTCTACCTTTGATGTCTCGTATCCAATTCCAGTGGATTGGGCCATTGATCTTTAGATCTACATGAATACATGTTGTATTCAATTTTTTTACTCATATCCTTTTTCCTTCAATAAATTATAATAATAATTAAAAAAAAAAACCTACAAACAAATTCATATCCTTTGTTTATTTTTTTTATTTTTCATTTCAAGGTTATTTTAAGCTTTTGTAGTTCAAATTTCTGGTGTAATTATACAGGACAACTATATTGATGCGGGGTAATGTTTATAAGAAATTCAAAGAATTTGTTGATGTAAAAATTAACTTTTGTGTGGCTCTTTATACACCAAAAATAAGGAAGAAGTTTCCAGAACTTATTAAGGTTGCCCTATATATTAGGTAAGTACTTTATAAATTAGCCTACCAGTGTTGCTATTCAAATAACCATGAATTCTGTAAGCCTTATAATAAAGAAGTAAGGGCAAATCTAAAAATACGCGCTTAGTGAGAATCGAACCATATCGCTTAAGTCCCCCTTACAATTTAGTAACTGTATCCAACTTGTCCAATAAAAGTGCTTCCTCACCACATACCAATAGGATACCACTAAGTTTTCCACTAACAAAAAAAGAAACTTTTATCAAAGATGTAAAGTATGTATCATATGATAGCAAATGCAAGATCCAAATATAAGATCTAGTGTCTACAGTCGACATGCATTTAATTGATATTAAAGAGTAAAGTGACGAATTCCACAATCGCAAAAGATTTCCATGTCCAATGCAAACAAATCAACGTTGGATGATAAATGAACTAGTTGTTTATAGGATGAAAAGGATTGGTACCGGAATCCATGAAACTTTCAACTATTATTCCTACCACTTGCCGTGGAATCAACAGAATTATTCCTTTGGATAAAGCATTATTATCCACCTAATTATCCAAAATATAATGCATACCAATTACCACGTACTATTTACATTTACATATGTAATATACTCTTAATTCTTTTACTTTCATGATGAATATCAAATGTATATGTTGCAAGGAAGATCCTTGGTTCCACTTTTTAATATCACAAAAGGATTTCGATTCTTTATTTTTGATAGGACCAATAGTCACTTAGTCACTAGTATATTTAGGTAACTCAAGTTCGGCCAGGAAAATTATATAGCTATATAACCTCTGACATATTATATTTACTTATTTATTAGTGTTTTATTTTGTTACAAAATGTACTTTGTATATGTTAAAATCCTTCAAGAAAATTATATAGCTATATAACCTCTGACATATTATTTTTACTTATTTATTAGTGTTTCATTTCGCTACAAAATGTACTTTGTATATGTTAAAATCCTTCAAACGAATCCCATAAGGACTGATCCCTAGACCTCGGGGATACGAGCTGAGAGTGATGTCGCTAATCCATCACCTCAACCTCATCCGTATCAATTATAACTGATATAATACAGTGAGTTTGGACAAATACAATACTACAGTACTTTACTACTATATTACACATTATACTCATTGACATTAAATCACTGTCACAATGATCATTATTCATTACTTTTCCCTCAACAAAATAACAAAAACAAATTGCACCCAAAAAAAAAAAAAAAAAAAAAAAAAAAACCTTGTTCCATTAATCGCAACCGTTAATCGTATAAAACAAAACGAGGCACAACCGTCCAATTGATAACGCGTCCAAAAACTATCACCATAAACCCTCAGATCACGCCACGTGTCAACAAATCTCATCATTAACTATGGTTAACCTTCAAAGTTAAACTAACCCAAATTCACTCTCACTTGATTTACCCAATTTAACCCTAGCCTAATCTAAGCTATTTATACCTCTTCCCTCTCCCCACATTCATTCCTTCATTTCTTCTCTCTTTCTTTCTCTTTCCTCCATTTCCTCTCGTTTTTCTTCGACATTCTTGGTTTTTCGACGCTTAAACCCTAATTTCTTCGCAATTTTGCTAGGGTTTTTCCGTGCATTGTTATGATAGCTGTAACATTTTCCAGAAATCGATTCAATTTAGCTTACCTACGTCGTTAATGGCGGAAGATCCTCGCCGTTTTTCGATCGGTTACGCTTTGGCGCCGAAGAAGCAGCAGAGTTTCATACGAGAATCGTTAATCAACCTCGCTCGTGACCGTTTGATTGATTTGATCAAAATCGATACTGGAGTACCGTTGATCGATCAAGGACCGTTCGATTGCATCCTTCATAAGTTGTACGGTGACGATTGGAAGAAGCAGCTCGTCGATTACAAGGCGAAAAACCCTAATGTCGTGATTTTGGATGCTCCGGAATCAATTGAACGACTTCATAACCGGATTTCGATGTTGCAGGTTGTTTCTGAGTTGAAATTCGTGCGAAATGACCGCGATACGTTTGGAATTCCGAAACAAATCGTGATTTATGACGTTGAAACGCTTCAAGATCATCGGTCTTGGGAAGGATTGAAGTTTCCGGTGATTGCGAAACCCTTGGTTGCAGATGGAAGCGCGAAATCGCATAAAATGTCGTTAGTTTACAATCATGGAGGATTGAGCAACCTAAAACCTCCGATTGTTTTGCAGGAGTTTATCAATCACGGAGGAGTAATATTCAAGGTGTATGTGGTAGGTGAATACGTGAAATGTGTGAAGAGGAAGTCGTTGCCAGACGTTTCAGAGGAGAAATTGGAGAGTTTAGGTGGTTTGGTATCGTTTTCGCAGGTCTCGAATTTGGCAAGCAATGAGATGACGGATGAGAAGTACTACAAGATGATGCACTTGGATGATTGCGAAATGCCGCCTCAGGAGTTCATCACTGACATTGCGAGAGGATTGAGGGAGGTCATGAAGCTGAATCTCTTTAATTTCGATGTGATTAGGGATACAAGACTCGGAAATCGGTACCTCGTGATCGACATTAACTATTTCCCAGGGTATGCGAAGATGCCGGCGTATGAGAGTGTGATGACGGATTTCTTCTGGAATGTTGTGGCGAGAAGAGAAGTGACGGAGAATGAGGAAAGTGAAGAGAAGAGTGAATTGGTGGATAACATTGGTTGCTGATGATGAAATGCAGGATAAATTTGTTACAGTAGGTGACAGTTTCTTCTTCTTCTTTCCCCTGCCCCAAAAAAGAACAAGAAATTGGAGGTTTTTAACAATTTCATTGGATAGGGTGATAGTATAGACTGGTGAACAATTAGGCTTTTTCTTTAATTTTTTTTTTCAATGAATTTTTTTTTTGTTGTTATTGCTGATGATGTTCTTTTTTTCTTTTTCTACCTGACTAGTGTTTCTTTTGTTTGTGGAGACATTATTAGTTGGGTGTTAGATATCAAATGATGTATATTCCATCTTGGCTTCGGAATTTGAGGTTTTATCTGAAATACTCTTGAAATGGGTTGTAGACGAAAAAGGGAGGCTGCTTTGATGTTTTTAGGAAGTGTTTAGTTTGTTTTTTCTTGACAAGTTTTGTAATCTTCTTTCCTAAGGAAATGTTAAAACATGTGTCTATTTTGGGCACCTTAGATCAATGAATTTGTCCATTTGGTTTATTCAATTATTTGCGCCTTTTTTCCTACTTATTTTGCAATGGTATTAGTTAGCAAATGAATCATGGTTCCGGATACATGGATGGAACTAGCATTTGGGTGGTTGTCTGAAGCACATACTCTGTATTAGGTTTCAACATGTTATTTATTCAGAATCTTGTACGTATTGAGAGTTTGAGCCCCTCAGTTCTTCTTTAGCTTGCACTAAGCAGCTTATGACGTGTTTGCAGGAACCGATTAGAATTGCTATCACTGCTATATGAAAAGTGATTGATTTTGGTCTATTGAATCCAGTTTGAATCCATTAGAGGGTTTGGGACTTTGGGTATCATCCATTTTATACAGTTAACCGGCTCCTTGGCTATTACATTTAGAGTGAACTATTGACCTAGTTTCCCTGTGCCGGTTTGGAGCCCTTATATGTTTTCCATTGGTGGACATTGTTCTATGTGTGGTTACTAACTAGATTTTTCAGTCAAAAGTTATCCGTATTGTTTTTCTTCGGATAATAAAATGAATTGCTATGTTGAATTGTTTATCTACCAGGTCTTAGATAGTGCTCTGCAACTTAGCAGTTTGTGTGGATACTTGATTTGAAACAAACTTAAAACTTTTGGAGCATGCCTTCTCTTTCTGAAGGTAGTGTGTGCTGAAAAGGACTATTTTTTATTATTAAATCTTGCATTCTTTGGTGTTAAAATGCTGTAATGCTTATCATAATGTTACCTCTGTAGTATCTTGTTTCAATAATGAATTATGCGTTGTTTCACAAATGCATTTGTTAGCATTTTCAAATGAGTTATGACTTTTTTTTTTTCTGTGTTTTTGTATCAAACTTTGGTTTCAACCAAGTGTACTCTGTATATGTTTAAACTCTGTGTGTTATTCTTAAAGTTGAAAGGCAGGGGAGCTCATAATTCATATCTTGTTTTGGTGAAAATTTGGCTTAAATTGTGGATGTGATGATACTGATGAATCAGTGATTATTATATCGGTTAAATAAATTAGTTGTTTTACCTGGTTTTTCTGGATGAATTTCAATGCACTGCATGAATTAAACTTTTCAGAGGTTTATTTCATATGGCCAAAAATAAAGAACCCTAGCTCTATTGCATCTAATTGTTCCAACTTCCTTCCATGTAAGCATTTTATTGCTTGGAACCTTAAATAGTGAGCAATTGGTACGATGTGGAGATTGCTTGGTAAGTTTTACATTCCCTTATGACTCATATGTTCTGCTACTTGAATGCTTGGTTTGATTCTCAATTTTGCCATCGCTGTTTCTGTGATAAGAAGATGCACCAACCTGGCATCAACGGACATTTTGAAATGTTGGATGAATTTTGGGAATGAGGAATTCTGTATAATGTCAGGTGCTAATTTGCTGATCTGTGATAGTTTAATGTCAGACCTTTTCACAAATGTCATGATAAAATTTGTGCCTTTGTGGTATCATGTATTATCCAGTGTTGTAATGATACTTCGTTGGTTATTTGGTTGTAGTTTTTTGTTTTTAACTTTTTTTTTTGGTCAGTGCAAGTGTGAAGTGAAGAAGTGTGATATGGAGTAGTAATCATAAGGTTTAAGGGTGATTACATTTCTTGTATGTGTCAGTGCACGTGTGAGGTGACATTTTGAATCAGTTTTAATGGAAGCACTATCATTTATATGGAACAGCGAATAACAATTTAATGTGTGCTGTGTCACAGATTGTGATGAGGATATCTTTCTGATCAGTAGCTTGCTTTCTTTGTTGTATGCATTCCTTTTTCAACTTTTAATACGATCTCTCTCTTTCTCTCTCTCTCTCTCTCTTTTTAAATATGATCATACACATATATTGTGAATTATTTATTGTCTAAGATCCTTACCGTGGATTATTGGAATTCATTCTGTTTTAGAATGTCTTGGTTTTGTCTCCTCTTTGGATTTTTCGTAGGCCCAAGTTTTGGGCTAGGATGATATTCACTATTAATAAAGTATCTAGACATCTTAGTCCTCATTTCCAGATGTATCTTTTTAGTTTTTTTGGGATTTCTTATTGAGGTTTAAATGTTTGATATAGTTAAACACTATTAATTCATGGAGTATTTGTACTAAAGAGTGGCTAACGAAGTTTGGTGACATGTTAACTGATGGACTATGTGATGAAACAATGGGGCATTTACGATTGCCTGCCATGTGAGACCATAGTTTTACTAGGTGAAATCTGTGAAGGAAGCTTAAATTATTTTTTCTGGTAGGTTCTATTATGTTAGAATTCCACTCAGCTCTGGATTCTGGTGATATGTATATAGTTATTCTGATTGCTAATAGCCTCGTGTGTTTCTTGGAATAGAAGACAGTATGGTACAATTTTGATTATAATTTGCCAGCATGGCTGAATGTCTTTATAGGTTGGTTTATTCTCTCTTTCTGATTGTTTGAGGCAATATATTGGGACAAGTCTTTTCTTTGTCTTTTTTCTTACAACTGCTGTTTAGGTGGCCTCTGCAATGGTTTGGGACAGTTTTGTGTGTGTGTGTGTGTGTGTGTGTGTGTGTGTGTGTGTGTGTGTGTTTGTGTGTGTGTGTGTTTGTGTGTGTGTGTGTGTGTGGGAGGGTGGGTGGCTTTGGGGTGGGAAAAGGGCTGTTAATGATTTTCTGATGTGTAGTTAAGTTATGACTTTTTTGTATTCAGGATGGGTTATAATTTTTATTTGTTTTTCGCTATTAGTGTTGATTTGTTGTTAATCATTTGGCTGAACTGTGTAAACTTCAATGTTTTCTGATTGTATGAAGAATGGTTTCTATTTTCTTTTTCTCCTTTGTAAATAATGACCCCTTTGTTTCCAGTGGAAGTTAATGTACATAATTTGTTGGATGTGGAGAATGCTTTTGCTGAAGCCAGCATAGGAAGTGCATGGAAAGCAAACGAGACACATTTATTTCATCAGGTTTGTTTTGTTTTGATCTTATTAGGTCTTCTTTGTGATATGGGATCACTTGACAGATTGATAGCAAGTTAGAAACCAAATCAGGTGCTGAACTGGGGTAGTTTAACTAGGGGTGAGTGGGTGACAAAGTTTGCTGATAGGGTATGTCGTTGAGTTGCATCTAACATATACTGTGGCCTTTTCCCAATTAAGGTGGTGATTTTTTTTTTTAGTGGAAATAAGCTAGTTTAGTAGATTGCATTGCAACTTGAAGTGAGACTTCTGGACGAATTACTTTCTTGCTGTTAAGTTTGCTATAGCTGAATTCCCGGTTGTTTCTTTTGGTGTCATAGAGCCCTTCATGTCTTGCTATTATTCTGTGCATAAGTTAAATCATGACTCTAGCCAGAGCTAGGCATAATTTAAACAACTGAGTATAAGACAAAGTGAGATTAATTGATTCTTGATGCTTTATTGAGACTTTTGTGCTGCTAGAGTGATATTTGTGACAACCCCAGCACAAATTATATTTAGGGGATGATTTTGTAGCATATGGATACGACATGCTTGATCGTGGATTTTATGATATTTGCTAGTCAAATATACGCTGAAGGATATGTTTTCATGGTGTTGATAGATGTGTGGTATGTCAGTTAGTGCCTTCTGAGTAATTCTGTAGGTTCAGAAGTTGGTTTCTCAATCCATTTGCCTGAGTTTGTAGATATGGATATTGATACATTCTATTTATTCTAATAGAATATCTATAAACGGATATGGTAGGCACTAGGCAGCTAGTCAGTTACACTTATTTGGTTTAGTGTTGTAGGAATTACATGCTGAGATTCTAAGAAGAGTGATAATTTTTTGGTTTAAGTTGCTTCCATTTGTCTCTTTGGTGGGCAGCTACTTAATTGTTTTAGCGGTTCTCAGTGGGTAAGAATCATGCTGTTGGAGGCTATCTGTGTAATTATGCTTTTAGTGGTGATATATGTATTCAAGCCTTTGAAGGTTCTTCCAATCACGGAAATTATGTTAGTTGCAGTTTTCCTTTACTAGTATTTGTTTGTCCAGCCATCTACACCTAGCTAGTTCCTTCTATATTATGTGACTCGAATTGCTAGAGGTTGCTATGCATCTATTTCGTTTCTGGTGTTTAGGTGTGTTTAGTTAGCCCTCACTCTCTCAGCACTCTGGTGAGCCTTCTGAAGGAACTCCCCCGGGGTGTCAGCATATGATGGGTTGTCCCCTTTGCAGTGTGTAAAAGTGGTGAAGTCCTATCAATTGAAAGTTTGAAACTTGGAAGTCTCTTCTCTCAGTGATTCTTGTCTTTTTGTAGTAGAATTAAGCTTGTGCATTTGATGATTCAAGTACAAAATTGCGTACTTTATAGTGTGTTGAAGGAATGAAAGTTGAGGATGTGATGAAGAGCTGCTGAATTGTGCTCTTTGAAAATTTTGCTGTGCTGCCGGGCCAGTGGTTACTGAGAGTCTTGATAATTCCGATAGATTTACCTGAGACCGTGTTAGGATGGCTTCAGCTTTGTTGATATTCTCAGAATCTGAGGTATGTGAAGTTGTTATCTTCGTTTTCTTAGCATATGACATGAGCTGTTTTGCTGAGTTATTCCCTAGAAGTAAGGGCTATCTCTGTTCAAAGGAAAATCGTCTCAATCGAATTTTATTTCTTAATTAATCAGGTTTTAAGTGTCATTTACTACGTAATTTTTTTGGCCCTTGAATATAGTTGGGAGAAAAGGAGGAAAGAGAATCTGAGAATGTGCCCCCTTTGGTGGGCTATGACTCTATGAGCCTGTAATATATGTATATGTTGGACTAAATAAATTTTGGCACACTCTCCTTGTTTGAAGAAGTTGGAATTTTGTATGTAACCCCTCTGTTTTCTCAGATTATGATCTTTCATACCCTACGTTTTATTTCAAGTACTTGTATTGTATTGGATCCTCGATATTTTAGTTTTGAAATGGATACTCTTACTTCATGGTTGTACTTGGCATACATATCTTAATTAAGTACGGAGTATCATAAATTTCACCTACGTGAAGTAGAGGGATATTCGTAGTCTAGTTGTATTACG